ATACTCTAAATAAATTGAGTGCAGCAACCACAAAAAGTTAGAATACCAAACTAATAAACATATACTATCTACTTGGACATGCTTTGATGGAAGTCTTTATCCACTTGTGAGCATTCGTTAAGTTCAAGAGGATTTCTTGCTGAAGGGCACACCGGCATTGTTTGATCTCAGGTTAGTGAGATCAATGTTTTTGCTAAAAGGCTAAACATTTTGTCTGGTGATGGAAGCACAATGATTCACTTTCAGATGTGGTTTGGGGATCACCGTTGGATGATATATGGATTGAGCACGTTCCTCTTTTAATCTATTGGACTGATCATCTTCAGATTTTGGGGACTTGTACACTTATATTTCAATTGATTTGTTGTTGTTGCACATATGTGGTAAATGAGTAGCACATCAAGTAGATTGTAATTGTCCAAAGCAGAACTGCTTGCATTCACTATTAACAATGCAGTGGGTACCTCTTAAGGTACTAACAAGGTAACCATCAGGAGAACCATTGTCAGAACAACACTTTTCAGTCCTTTACATTTCCTTATCGCCACTATCTCTTCTACATCTGTGCTGCTTCACTGTATCTATTGTACTTTCCTTCCCCCTCCCTTTGCTACATTTAATGGTATACTACAAAAACATCTGGGATATTATTGTGATCAAACTATATATTTAACACACATTGCAGTTTGGAAAATACCTGTTATTTGAATCAGACTGACACTTGGTTGTTAAGTATTTTGTTTGCATTTGACAGATATCCTGTGTACAGATCCACTTTAGGATAAAAGGCAGGGTGCTTTGTCTGTATATAGAATATATCCACGGATTTGCCTGCAGAACTGACCGACAAGAAATTTTCCAATAGCCAATTTGAGAGAAAAGTCGTCCATTAGTTCAACTTTTAATGAATCGGTCAATTGATGGACCGATCAGCTGCTCCCTGCTGAAGTGGCTGAATTTCCATCCATCAATGACCAGCTTTACTATAAACTATCTAGGAGTTCCCAGCTATGGGGCATTAATAGCAAAGCACAACACAGAGAGCAGGGTCATTCTCAAAGGTGCAGCAACACACCAGAAGACAGGACATTGCCTTTCCAATGCAGCTGAAAATGTCCGATGTGTGCCTGTTTTTTTTTTCTATTTGCATTTACTTATTGAACATATTATAGTGGTACTTTGTGTATTTTCTGTTCATGTTTTAGGTATATTTTTATTGAGACTAACCAGAAGCACTGCTAGTGTTTTTCCACGTGTTATTATTATATAAAATCTGTTGGTTGTTGTAACCACTAATTGATACAGGTGTTGAACATTTCTGGTTTGAATAAGATTTAATAAATGAACGATACAAACATATAACAGGTAGTGCTCATCTTCTTTGATTTCTTGTACATATATCTTTAATACAAATATGAATAGGTATGTACAAAGATGATCAAAAACACATTGGATATCCAGTAGCAACATGAATTTGCAGCTCTTGCCCCTTTTGTAAATTGTGGAGAAAAGAGAAAAGAACTACATCATTACAAAAACCTGAATTGTAATTTTTTTTTTTTTTTTTTTTTTTTAAATTTCATGCAGAACAAAAAGAAGAAATCCAGGGCTAAACAGAAAAAAGGCCAACAGGAGAGTGAGAAGAAAGATGGAACAGGAGAAAGTGATTCAGGGGATGGACTCACTGCTGCTGTTGACAAATTGAAACTGTGTTCAGCAGGTGCAAACTACAATCCCTATTTAACTTCTCAGAAATCACCAATGAAAAATACTGGAAAGGATCCACCGCACTCACCATCTTCAAGATTTAAAAAAAATGAGCAGCAGTGATTCTGAATTTTCAGATGCCGAAGGTGGCTTACAAAGTAAAATAAGGTCAGATTTTTATCATTTGTTTGTTTTTAGTGTGTGTGTGTGTGTGTGTGTGTGTGTGTGTGTGTGTGTGTGTGTGTGTGTGTGTGTGTGTGTGTGTGTGTGTGTGTGTGTGTGTGTGTGTGTGTATTGTCTAACTGCTCACAGTTTATTTGCACGTTATGGCACATTTACTACAAGAGTGCCCTCCCCCCAGTGCTGTTCACTTCAGCATGTCAGTCATTGCTCCATCAGCCATCTTCTCCACTTCTGACCATATTTTTATTGCTGTCTGTGCCTTCCTGTCCTAAAGACAGCCACTCCCTAACATTTCTTGTACAGGTGCCATAGCGACATTGGCGGGGGAAGATCCTCAGTAAAGTCACAGACAGCAACAGAATCTGTCAGAAATGTTAATTCTATCAAAAGAATAAACTAAAAATGAAAGTCATCAGCTAAGTGCAATAACGTAGTAACTGTTTATTACATAAAACCAAATACCAGTGTACTCGCAACAGTACACAATCAAATGCATGTAGCAGATCCAGTTCTGTCAAAGGAAAACAGATACATCCAAGAGGGCACAGCTTCCTCATTTCAAGGGCAAATCCCTCTTCCACGGAGCTTAGCTGTGTTGGAACTAGACCTGCTGCATGCACTTGATTGTGTACTGTTGGGGGTACAATGGCATTTGGCTTTATTTAATCACTTGAGCTCCAAAAGATCTTATCCTCTTCATGATTAACACATCTTTCGCTATTCAGCACTGTGCTACTTTAACTGGAAATTGCATGGTCATGCCCCACTGTACTCTTTGCAGTTTTTTTGGGGGGAAAATTAAGAAATTTTGAAAAAATTCACAATTCTTTCACCAGTGCAGTACAGCATCTTTTTTATATATATATATATATATATATGTGTGTGTGTGTGTGTATATATGTGTGTGTGTGTGTGTGTATATATATGTGTGTGTGTGTGTATATATATATAGCTCAGTGTTACCATAGAGACACTGTATTACTGGGGGGGGGGGGGGGGGGGTGATCAAGAAATTTTTTTTTTACACTGTTATTGGTTATACAGTGGCAAAAATGTTCTGCTTGGGGATCAAATACTTATAAATTTAGTTGCAGTTCAGTGAGTAAGGTAACATTTGTATCACGTTTTTTTTTTTCTGGATTTTTGGTTGATGTTCTGTCTCTATCATTTTAAATACAGCTATGATAAAAATTATAGACCCTTCATTTCTTTGTAAGTGGGCAAACTTACAAAATCTGCAGGGGATCAAATAATTATTTTCCCCACTGCACAGTGAAGATCACAATGACGTACATGTACGTCGTGCATGTACGTGCCGCCCCACCACACAGTATATTTACTGTGGCATGTCAGCAAGTGGTTAATAAAGAGTTACTCCATTGTTGCGCTAGGGCGGTGCGCCTTGTTTTCTTTTCAGTGCTGGTTTCCCCTAAGGGCAGAAAGTCCATTACAATGTGCTGTGTGGAGTTTTCTAGTGGTGGATATCTTACCCACGTAGACAAAATTGAAGAGGAGTCTACTCTGAGCCCATACATGGATTTGTAGCCTTGAGGGCCTTTCCCTTTTTGTAGTGCTGACAATAATTTGTGTTTGTTTTTATATCCAGAGCACCCTGGGAATTCCAAAACCTGGCAAACTAGCCACTAGGGCGTGTAACAGTATATGACCCTGTTAACTTTGGTTGCTTTATGTATAAAGCTGTGCTTCAATTTTGGGGGCTCCAAAAGTACTCTGGAAAAAATAATAAAGGTCTGCTAGCTCTATAGAACAGGGAACAGTTTCAGCAGTTTGAATGTTACTCCCTTCCTGCCGGCACCTCCTGGCCCTTTAAGAGTTTCAGACACCTGGGAGGGGCGTAGTTTAGGGATCATGTGACCGTCGTGACGCGTCGCCATGGCGGTCACATGATCAGGAAAGGTCCCGATCGAAAGAGCGGACCGAGACCTTTCCGTGAGTACCGCACATGTGTGTTTGGAGCGCGCAGAGCGCGCGCTCTCAGCACATATGTTTTTTGTTACCTGAACGCAAATGTGCAACCGCTCAGCGTCTAGGCCGAGACGGTGGGAGGCCGCACACATGTGTGTGCGGCCAGCGTAAAGGGGTTACCATGGGTTTGTTTTAGGACTCTGTGATCTAAATAAAGTGTAGGCATCTAGAAGTGTTTGCAAATATTTTTAGCAGCCTGACAGATGCCTTGTCAGTGCTTAATGCTGGCTGGTTCTGACAGGTAAAGCTCCAAAACTTCTGGGTGTCATTGCTTGCTGCTAAGCCCAGCACCCTTGTGCTCCTGCTTGGCCCATCACTATGATGCACTGCATCACTGATCAGTAGGAATGTGCATGAGGCAGGAAGGGATGAGCAAGCTTCAGCACTATGATGAAGTTTTGGAACCTTTCCTGTGAGAGCAGCCCGATTAGTATTTGAGAGGCTGCTGTGGGTATGTGCAGGAACCTCCTAGTACCCATTCTGTATACCTCCAGCAGTTTTTGTTTTTTTGGTTTTTTTTTTTAGATGACAGGTTACCTGTATTTAATTTTCTCTTAGGCAAGCCACAGATGGTGCGATTTTTCTTTCTTGCATCCATGGGTGGTAGGAAAAAAGAGAGAAAGTACAGTGGATATAAAAAGTCTACACACCCCTGTTAAAATGTCAGGTTTCTGTGATATAAAAAAATAAGACAAAGATAAATCCTTTCAGAACTTTTACTACCTTTTTATTGTGACCTATAAACTGTTCAACTTAATTGAAAAACAAACTGAAATATTTTAGGGGGGGGGAGTAAACATAAAAAACTAAAATAGTGCGCTTGCATAAGTGTTCACACCCTATTGTAAATAGGGATGTAGCTGTATTCAGAATTAAGCAATCACATTCAAAATCATGTTAAATAGGAGTCAGTACACATCTGCTATCATTTAAAGTGCCTCTGATTAACCCCAAATAAAGTTCAGCTGTTCTAGTAGGTCTTTCCTGACATCTTCTTAGTCGCATCCTACAGCAAAAGCCATGGTCTGCAGAGAGCTTCCAAAGCATCAGAGGGATCTCACTGGTAAAAGGTATCAGTCAGGAGAAGGGTACAAAAGAATTTCCAAGGCATTAGATATACCATGGAACACAGTGAAGTGGAGAAAATATGGCGCCACGGTGACATTACCAAGAACTGGACGTCCCTCCAAAATTGATTACATTTTAGAAAACTGGTCTGAGAAGCTGCCAAGAGGCCTTCAGCAACATGAAAGGAGCTGCAGGAATATCTGGCAAGCACTGACTGTGTGGTACATGTGACAACAATCTCCCGTTTTCTTCATATGTCTGGGCTATGGGGGTAGAGTGGCAAGACGGAAGCCTTTTCTTATGAATAAAAACATCCAAGCCTGGCTAAATTTTGCAAAAGTCTCCCAAAAGCATGTGGGAAAATGTTCTATGGTCTGATGAAACCAAGGTTCACGCTCGTCTCCAGGACTTCTCCAGAGCCTGTCCCATCCTCTGGACCTCCCTACCACAGTATGTCCGGTCAGCCCCCACCCTGTCTGCCTTTAGGCGATCTTTGAAAACTCACTTATTCAGGGAAGCCTACCCCATCTCCCGCAGCTATTACCTTTTCTTTCACCTCCGCCTTCCTTTAGATTGTAAGCTCCATGAGCAGAGCCCTCCTATTCCTTCTTTACTGAAATGTATTGTAATTGTACTGTCTCCCTTATATTGTAAAGTGCTGCACAAACTGTTGGCACTATATAGATCCTGTATAATAATAATAATTATAAGGTTGAACTTTTTGGCCATAATTCTAAAAGATATGTGTGGCGCAAAAACAACACTGCACATCATGCTTAGTCAAGGTAGAGGGAATTATGAACAGTTCCAAATACCAGTCAATATTGGCACAAAACCTTCAGGCTTCTGCTAGAAAGCTGAACATGAAGAGGAACTTCATCTTTCAGTAAGACAATGACCCAAAGCATACATCCAAATCAACAAAGGAATGGCTTCACCAGAAGAAGATTCAAGTTTTGGAATGGCCCAGCCAGAGACCAGACCTGAATCCAATTGAAAATCTGTGGGGTGATCTGAAGAGGGCTGTGCACAGGAGATGCCCTTGCAACCTGACAGATTTGGAGTGTTCTTGCAAGGAAGAGTGGGCAAATACTGCCAAGTCCAGATGTGCCATGCTGATAGACTCAAAAAGACTGAGTGCTGTAATAAAATGAAAAGGTGCTTCAATAAAGTATTGGTTTATGGGTGTGCACACTTATGCAACCATATTATTTTCGTTGTTTTTTTTTATTCCCCTCCCTCCACCTAAAAGATTTCAGTTTGTTGTTCAACTGAGTTGTACAGTTTATAGGTTACATTAAAGGTGGAAAAAATTCTGAAATGATTTTTCTCATTGTTTGTCTAATTTTTTTTACATTACAGAAACCTGACATTTTAACAGTGGTGTGTAGACTTTTTATATCCACTGTAGATAGATTCCCCCATCAACACAGTGTTGATGGGGGAATCTCTCCATCCCTCTCCCTCAGCGCTATATCAAGGCTCTCTGCTGACAGAACACAAGGATTGCTGCTGGCGGATATATCCACCAGCAGTAATCTCTTGCAAAAAATCCAACAGGCTTGTTGTACTCAATATCAATCAATGGATTGACTTCAGTACAACCAGCCTTCCCATAGATGGATCGTATTTCAGCTGGTTCCGGCTGAGGTTCAATCCATCTATGGCTGGCTTAAGAATTTGTTAATAAGTACTATTCAGACTCATTGTTGGTTTATATTATTAAATCAGTCAGTAATTGGTTGGACTGTAGTGGTCCTGCAAGTTTTTACCCTTTTATATGTACTGTATGTTTTTTACCCTGTGTATAGGTTTTATGTTTTCCAACTGATGGTACAATATATTTCTGCACGCTTTTCTTTTTCCTAACTTTTATTTTGGGTTGTTTGGTTTAGCTGCAAAGCTGTTCTAGCTATTTTAATCATCTCTTTGACCTGATGAACAGTGACTAATGGGAATCATGTTCAGCATTGAAGAGAATCATTCCATTAGTGCTCCTAATCCTTTGTTATTTTTAATTGTGCAACATCCTCGGCTGCGTGCTGTCCCGATGAATAAATATAAAACATCCTTGGCCTGGACTAAGAATGATTTAAACCTTTGCAAATGCTTGTTTTAACTAAATGCTGTAATCTGCCTTTTAGGCATTCTTTAGCATAATACAGTGGCATATTTTACAGTTCAAGGCAGTAACTGTTGCAACTCATTAGAAATATCCTTGTGTGTCCCAGTAAGTTACAGCAAAAGGGAAAAAAAATCCTTTTGTATGATAGGTGAAATACTCTGACAGGAAGCACAGGGTTGTTCTAGCCAGCAAGTGAAGATCTTTTGTTCACAAGAAAAATGCAGTAAGGCTATGGCTACAGTGGTGTTTAAATATCCTTGCTAGGAGATTTAACTACTTGTTCACTTGCCTTATGAGCAGCACACTGAAATCAAGCAGAGGTTTAATCACTAGTGTTGCCCTAAAGAAAAGCTAAGGTCCTGCACTAGCTCTGTTCACATTGGAGTGAAATTGGCCATATGCTAATAGACTTTCTAACAAACATTTGTGTTAAAATTCTCATCAGTACATTTGGGGACATTGGCATTTGCTTTTAACATTCCAAATAAGAGCAAATGGACTTTTCTGAATAAAAAATTCCACATTTACTGTTAGACATTAATTCATTTGAGAGAGAATTTCTATCCTGCTCCTTCAAATTTTCTCGAGACTGATCGAAAGTAAAAGTCAGCTTGACCGTATTAAAGTGAAACTAAACCGAGCAGTGTTAGATTGAATTACTTGTTCACATATTAGGGCAGCACAGTGGCTAAATGGCTAGCACTTCCACCTGGCAGTACTAGGGTCGTTGGTTCGAATCCCAGCCACGGCACCACCTGCCTGGAGTTTGCACATTCTCCCTGTGCCTGCGTGGGTTTCCTCCGGGTACTCCGGTTTCCTCCCACACTCCAAAGACATGCTGGTAGGTTAATTTGCTCCTGTCTAAATTGTCCCTATTATGTGTATGTATGAATGTGACTTAGGGGCCTTAGATTGTACACCCCTTGAGGGTTAGGGACTGATGTGAATGTAGAATATATATGTAAAGCACTGCGTAAATTGACGGCGCTATATAAGTAACTGAAATAAATAAATATTACAAATGTATGATGCCACTGTACAACCCAAATTCCATAAAAGTTGGGACACTGTGTAAAACCTACATAAAAACAGAATGCAATGATTTGCAAATCTCAAACCCATATTTTATTCACAATCAAAAATAGAAAACATATCAAATGTTTAAATTGAGAGAATGTACCATTTATAAGAAAAAAAAAAGACTGTTTAGTTTACTTGATTAGTTGCAAAATGTTCTTCTAGCTCTTCCTTGTTAGTACGGCTTACTTTGCCAGCTTTTATTTGCCCTTTCCCAACTTTTTTGAGATGTGTTGCTGCCATCAATTTTAAAATATATATATTTTTTTTTTTTTAAATGGGACACTTTCTCAAATCATTTTTTGCAAATCATTGCACTCTTTATTGTAGGATTTAACATAGTCCAAACTTTTTTTGGAATTGTAGTTGTACTTTGAAAATATAAAATGCTCAGACTACTTTTTTCTGCGGCACTGTTATTGGTCATGTGATCTTTCCTTACTCTTGGCAGAGAAAGATCTGTGGGAGGAACTTAAATTACTCATGTATGCTTTACACATCAGCAGATGATGTCTGCTATTAGTATGTGACCAGCATAACACTGATTGGAGTAGTTTAGGTCACATGACTAAAAAATAAAAAACATTAAGATGGTGTAGGTGGAGTCAAAGATGATTTAACACTAGCTTTCACTTTGTTCGTACAGCATCTGCTTTCTAGACTCTGCTTTTTATTTCACAGGTATAAGCAATTAAATTTGATATATTTGAGTGATATATAGTAAAGTGAAATTTTAGAAAAATGTATGCAGTACGTAAATGTAAGAATCACATGAACACAATGGTTCCTTATGCATTTGAATAAGGGCATTTTGCCTCTCTCAAAAAGGGATAAGCAACTGTTTTGCTAAACTAATACATAGAAACAATGTACTTTTTCCCTTACCCTTACCTAGCACACCCCTGCTGGGGAGCCTTTTGGAAGTTTCTTAGTGAATCTAAACACGTGTGTGTATATATATATATATTTTTATTTTTTTTTACAAGGGCATGGAGGAGGAGGGAGGGGACTCTCATTTTACGCTGTATATAAACCCATATGTGTGACTCTAGAGAGAATGAATGGCAGGGAAGGCACCTAAATACGTAATAGATGTGGTAACGGTCAAGCTATACAATCACAAAGGACAGTGACAAGGAGGGAGCGCTGGATAACAGAGTATACACCTTGTTATATAGCTAGTAATGGCATTTTTTAATAATCTTGTTTAACCACTAGCCTACAGGGCACTTATACCCCCTTCCTGCCCAGGCCAATTTCCAGCTTTCAGCGCTGTCACACTTTGAATGACAATTGCGCGGTCATGCAACACTGTACCCATATGAAATTTTTATCATTTTTTTGAGACAGATAGAGCTTTCTTTTGGTGGTATTTAATCACCTCTGGGATTTTTATTTTTTCTTAAACAAACCAAAAACCACTGAAAATTTTGAAAAAAAAAAGTTTTTTCTTAGTTTTTGTTATACAATTTTGTAAATAAGTGATTTTTCTCCTTCACTGATGTGCGTTATTGAGGCTGCAGTGATGGACACTGATAGGTGGCACTGATGAGGAGGCACTGGTAGGTTGCACTGATGGGCATTGACAGGCATCACTGATGGGCACTGAAAGGCAGCACTGATACATGGCACTGTTAGGCGGCACTGACTGGCACTGTTAGGCGGAACTGACTGGCACTGATTGGCAGCACTGATAGGTGGCACTGATTGGCATTGATAGGTGGCACAGACTGGCACTGATAGGTGACATTGAAAGGCAGCTCAGATGGGCACTGATATGTGGCATTGATGTGGCACTGATGGGCACTGGCATGTGGCACTGATTAGCACTGACAGGTGGCACTTCTGGGGCCACACTGATCATCAGGGCACACTGATCATCAGTGCCCTGATGATCAGTGTACGTGTCCCCTCCGCGGAAAGCCAATTAACGGCTCTCCTCTCCTCTCGAGCTGTCAGCGTGACAGCTCGAAAGGAGAGAAATGCCGATAACCGACATTTCCGTGTTTACATGTGATCAGCTGTGATTGGACACAGCTGATCACATGACCGAGCCGACATCTTTGACTCTTTCCGTGATCCGCTGTGTCCGAGGGACACAGCGCACCGGCGATCGCTGCGCGCTCCCTGAGCCGCGCATGCGCAGTGAGAATGGTAGGACGTCATATGACGTCCTACCAATCAGAACTAGAGAACCACCTTGTGCCCGTCGTACTATAGGGCGGGCGGAAGGTGGTTAATGACATTTTAACCATTAGAAAAGCAAACATTCCTAAAACAAAAAATATCGAACAAAATTCTTCTAGTGTTTTGACCACCTTAAGGGTCCATCTGCCAATTACTTTAAGGCTTTTACCTACAGTATGTCTTAAATTCATAATAAGCACCCATTTGCAAAAAAAGCCTTTTAGTAACAATTATTCTGATGTCTCATCCCAGAGTAAGGCAAGGCGAAGTTGAGTAGTCCATTCTCTCCAACAGTTGAGAAGGCTTAGAAAGGCAGTGTCACAAGGGAGGTATTTATTTCACTAGCTTCTATGTCTATTCTTCTTGGATAGTGCTGTACATTAAATATGTATACATTTGACATATTAAATTAAGATGTTATAAGTAAGCAGTGGTGTATATACAAAATTTTGATGGGACACACATTTTTCTTCACCTCTCCTGTCTGGTGAAATCTCTGTATCACACATTTATAATGCCTAAATACTGGTGGCTTGCACATCCCTTGTAATTTTACCTCTTTTTATGTGGATGGCTGAGGCAAGTTTTCAAATGACAAAATAACCAAAATATTTCTTCTGTCTTCTGCCATCATTTCGATAGCCACATCTCGTTCAGTGGCTCAGAAGCAGCTTTCATTGCTCCTGTCCACATGTACCGTAGGTTCACATCTCTGCGTATGCACGTGAAAATCCGTGCAGTCGCACCACCCGCACAGAGAAATGCGGACCCGTGGGTGGGTGCCATTAGTTCTAATGGCACGCTGCCTGCACTGGAAAATGCAACCGTACTGGGAACCGAGGTTCCAGTGCAGGCTGCGGTTTCCAAAGAACTGCAGGGACTTCTTCCCTGCATGTCAGGGGCACGGGAGTCAGTTCAAATGAATGGGCTCTCGTGCCCGTGCAAAAGGTGGCCCGTGTTTATGTGAACCAGGGAGTAAGCAGCAGGACTCGCATGTAAGTTTGACAGCCAGGGTATTCTGTGTCTGTGGATTCCTGCAGTGCTCGGTTTGACAGCTGAGCTTTGGCATGTATGTTTCTTTAGAGTGATATTTGAGCCCGGCTAATTACAGGCGAGATGATTTCCCAGAGTAACCTTTGGGTGCTTTGGTACAGCCTGACCTTGCTCCCCAGGGAATTAATTAGACCCCTCCCCTGCTTAGGGGCTTTAGCAGATGTGCAAGCTGTTCTAGTGCAGTCATATGTCATAAACACTTTATACTGTTAGAAAATATGATGTAATATGAATTCTAAAAATATATTATCCAGTGAAGAGAGCAGTCGATGTATATATTAAAGTGGTTGTGAAAGGCTCAACGTTTTTTACCTTCATGCATTCTATGCAGCTCCCCCATAACAGATTTTATTTTCTTAAAGGTCTTTCCAAGCTAAAGTTCGACAAGGCGCAATATCCTGCTTTTTATCTACAATAAAGTCCATTGAAAAGAAAGTTCTTTATGGCTATTGGTCAGCTTTCGTCCCTGACATACCTGGCATAGGAAGTCCACAATCTGTGTCTCTCGTGACCGTAATACTTAAAGACTATTCTCCAAAGGTATGTATCACCTTAAAATATTCAACAAACATATACAAACTTATCCAGTGGCTACATCTTGAATATTTTTTCAATATAAAACTTGTAGATGGGCATACTTTCTGTCATTAAGATATTTATATAAAGAGTAACTCCACTTTTGTTGAGAGAAAAATCTCTGGGTGATCAATATACAATTGCAGAAATTTTAACAAACTTTGTTGTAGATTTCTGTTTCTTCTCTGAAGAAAAAGCGGTTTGTTCTTCTAGGTTTTTTGGATACTGACCTGGAATGGGAGTGGCTTCTTTATTATTGATCAGCTGATGCGCTTGCAGTGCTGTGATGAGGAAAGCTGCAAGGTCAGCATGTCTTTAGATGTGAATAATCCTTTAGGAGAATCTCACAAGAAAAAGACTTTCTGTTGAAGAGGATGCCTAAAATCTGACTATTCATGTCAATTCAGGTTGCCATATTGCATTGCATTTTACAGAATATTAGAGTACTGCAAATTGAAAAGGAAAGGACATATTGTTATATTTTGATATATTTTTTCCCATGAAAGTAAAGTTACACTTTAAGTGTTGTGTACCCTCTTTAGATCAATTTTAAAGGTTTAGCACATTTTTTTTTTCTGATGCATCCAAGGTCAGCCTAGTTTAATACTGATTTGCATATGTCTTTTGGCTAAATGTTATACTCGCCTTACCTTAATTTTTTTTTCCAGTAACCATTTTTCTGCTTTTAGACTCGTGCTTGTGCACTCCAAGTCCTTTCTGCCATACTGGATGGATCGAAGCAATTTCTTTCTGTTGCTGATGATGCAAGTGAATATAAACAAGCCTTTACTCCATTTTCAGTCACCATTGCCTCAAGTATTAGGGAACTGCACAGATGTCTGCTGCTAGCAATGGTTGCTGAGTCTTCAGCACAAACACTCACTCAAATAATTAAGGTCTGTATGCCTGCTTATTTAGTAGCACAGTGAAATGTGTCAAGACAAAGTGTGTATTGACTGGGAGTAAATGTGCGGACACCTAATTAGAATAGAGTTGTATATATTAGATCACAGTCTGCATCTCTACACAGAAAAGATTGTTGCTAGACTGCTTTTGTCCAAATGTTTATACAGACAAGGTTCTTTTCAGCTGAAACATTTTTAGCCAAATGTGTTAACCTACAATCAATGTAAATAATTCCAATACACAGTGTGGTATTTTTTTTATACAGCTTTTATGAAGGATTGTCTAAAAAGACTAATAAGCATCATAAACTTGTTGGATGGATTGATCAACTAGTATAATTCCGTACCTCCCAATGTTCTAAGATGGGAAATAGGGAAACCTTTTAGAACAAAGTATGTCAATGTTAAGAAAAAAATGCATCACGTATGTACAATAGAAGTACATGTTCATCATTGTTTTTTTTTTTAAAAGGTGTTTATTTTGCATTTATAAAACACAATCAATAACAGAAAAAGGCAAATAATAATAGAAACGCAAAACTAAAATCACAAAGTAAGGGTACATAAAAGGGGATCAAAAAACAAACAACAAATTATTGCAGGCCAGAAACCCCATACATATAACAAGAAAGAATCCCAAAACAAAAATAACATAACAACAGTTAAGCAGTCAGAAACCTACAAATACACAACCTAACACATACAAGAGACACAAACAAACACCCACACCATCAACTCCCTTACAGATCAGAGGAAATCCTGTGACAATGGTTGTAACAAGAGAGCATCTCCCCAAAAAGAGTCCGCTATATCCAGCCAGGGCTGCCAGATTTTCGTAAATGTTTTGAGGGCAGGCCCGTCTTTATAGATCAGCTTATATTGAGGCAGCACCAGATTAACCATGCAATAAAATCGGTGTATAGAGGGTGGAGTATCACCCTTCCAATTCAACAAAACATTTTTCATCATTGTTGATCTGCCAGAAGTGCACTCCGCTCTTAAGCCCTGTTGTGGGTTGATAACACAGTGGGGATTATTTACTAAAACTGGAGAGTAAACTCTGAACAGAAACTAATCAGCTTCCTGGTTTTATTGTCAAAGTTTAATTGAGCAAGCTGAAGTTAGAAGCTGATTGGCTACCATACATAGCTGCACCAGATTCTGAGTGCACCAGCTTTAGTAACTCTCCCCCAGAATTTTGTGATCAGTGGGTGGTCAGCCCTCCCATTGTCTTTTGCTAAATTACTCATTGACCACCACTTTCGGATCTCTATGCCACAAAGGCTAATCATTCTGTAGTCTCAAATAAGCGCTGGAAGTGTGGAAAGGACACAGGATAGCACTAAAATTTTGATGAAATAATTTTTTTTTTACTGCACTTATCAAACGGATATAACAGAATGTTTTCAATTGTGTATTCAACACCAAAGAAAGACCAGATTTGTAAGGGTCTGCCCAAACCCTCCTAAGACTCCTAAACAGGGAGTGTGACTGGTACCTATGCTTTTGACACCTTGGGAGCTGGGACGATCTCGGTGTTGGGGTTTACATACACTGTTAGTACAGTGTTTTTAGAAATCTGTTTGCTAAGTCTGTACTTTCATATATTCAGGCCGTTCAAAGCATATTGTATACTTTATCATTACTGCTGGCTTTTACTACCTGAAGTAGGTTTTCAAGAAAGCATCACAGTGGTTATTTCTTTTGTAAAAGAAACATTTCTTCAGATGGTGTAACATTAATGGATGTCTTTTTGTGACAGCTTTTTAAAAATAGCTTGCAGCATTAAATGAAATCAGGAACCTAAATAAACCCTGCAAGTGCTACTTTTATTTGTTCTGCCCTGTAACAAGAGATGCTCTGAAAATAATGGATACTTTTTTTTATGTTTGCCTCAAGGGTAAGTGGATTAACTGTTGGGGGGGGGGGGGGGGGGGGTTAAGTGGCTTCCACAGGAGACAAGACCGTTTGATATTGAACATAAAAATTCACCATCCTTTTTTTACCTCTTTGAATATCTGCCATAAGGGATTGAATTTCTTAAATACCATGAGCACAAGAATAAGCAGGGTCTTCTACAGGCTAATTATTTTCAATAATAGAAAGACTTCTTTTTGTCTAGCTGACCTCTTCTATTTTGCCAAGCTGCTTTTAAAGGACCAAAATCAGCATGGGGAATGCAGTGTCCTCTGCCCTCATTTTGGTTATGGGGTTGTTTCGATTATTCACATAGCACCTAAAGGCATTACATTTATCTTTCTCTGATAGAAGCAGTTTTGGTATATTTTATGGTTATTGAATAGATTATGATGATCAGAAGAGCTCAGGGTTGTCAGTACGTTAACAAAGCAGTTGTTGCAAACTTCTTGACACGTACTATGTATGTATGTATGTATGGCCAAAACCTTTTTTCTTTTTTGGATAAAATATGGAAGGGTTAAAATCTTCATTCACTTCATTGCACACAATGAAAGGTTAGAGAAAATTTCCCAAAGTGAGGGAACCATCTTAGACATTTGTCTATGAACCAAGTATCCTATTTGAAGATTTCCCTTACCTCCTTGTCCTGGGAATAATTCTGGGTTTCCCCAACTCTTTCCTGGTGACAATGGTCACCTGTCCAAATTGACTTATGACAAATCTTCCAAATGGGGACAGAAAACATTATAAACAGAGAGGGTCTACCCCTCCCCTTTTCCAAAACTTCAAAAACATTGTTTTGATTAGAAATGTACTTTAACTACTTGCTAACCGTGCTATAGCCAAATGACGGCTACAATCCCGGTTGTCCAGTTCTGGGAGGGTGTCATATGTTGTTCTCCCAGAATGCGCCCTCCCGCTCACCTCCAGCGTGCACCCGGCGATCTTCGTGATGGCTGTGTCTTACAGAAACAGCTGATCACGTGATGAGGTAAAAGGCCAATCACAGTGGCCTTTTAACAACGTGATCAACTGTGTCCAATAATACAGCAGATGATGTGGTAAATATAGTTGCCGGTTATCAGCAACACTTTCCTAATAACCGACAGCTGTCACAGAGCAGATCGGCACTAATGATCAGTGCCACTCATAAGTGCCCAGCAGTGCCCCCCATCAGTGCTGCCCAGTAGTGCCACCAGTCAGTGCCAACTATCAGTGACCATCATTGCTGCCTATCAGTGCAGCATCATCAGTGGTGTCTATCCGTGACACCTCATCAGTGCCCATCAGTGCAGCCTCATCAATGCACATCAGTGAAGGAGAAAAATTACCTGTTTGCAAAAATTTTATAATAGAAACATTTTTTTCAAATGTTTTGCTCTTTTTTTTTTTTTTTTTTTTTTTTGTTTATAGTGCAAAACATAAAAACCCCATCATTTTGTGTGAAAACAAAATGATAAAAAATTAATATGGGTACAATGTTGCATGGCTGAGCAATTGTCATTGAAAGTGCGACAGCGCTAAAAGCTGAAAATTGGCCTGGGCACGAAGGGGGTAAAAGTGCCCGGTAGGAAAGTGGTTAAACTCTTAATTTAGTGCCATACAATCTCAGACATTTTTTTTCAGCAGATATAGGGTTTTATTTTGGTAGCAAAGCTACATACATATATTTTCATTTCCTTGTATTTTATTGGAAATAAATAGTAAACAATTAGAAAAATATATTTCCTGCAATTTTTACCCAATGCAACATTTATGCAATTTGTGCACCCCTTGTACAAAATGTAATTAACAAAGTCTGCTGATTAAAATATCACATTGGTGCAAATTTATTGTAACATAGCTGAATATTATAATCTATTAAGTCTAACATGTTTTGTTTGTGGTGAATGGTGATATGGTTTGTATACCTATACTAGCATATTATTTGCAATTTTTTTAATATATAAAGCATTTTATCTCTCTGATTATTGCAGTGCCTTGCAAATCTAGTGTCAAATGTCCCTTATCATCGACTAAAACCAGGTCTACTCACTAGAGTTTGGAACTATATTAAACCTTACATCCGCAATAAAGGTTTGCAAACTTTTTACTTTTATATGTAAAAAAAAGTGCAGATTTTATTTTGGCTTACACAACATTGACGATGTGGAAAAACATGATATATGTACTGAGTATGTATGTGTGTATATATGTGTACATGTGTGCACACGCGCACACACACACACACACGTTCGCATCTTTCCATGAAAAAAAAAACGAACCACAAATTTCTCTTAAAAAAAAACCCAAAAACTTGAAACTGACCAAGATAATTGGCATCCACCATTGTTTATTCCATATTTTAATAATATTATGGTTTTGAGGACCCATGATTTGCGATTGAGACAGAGCTTTCTGACACTGGGCAGTACTTTTTGCTTCTGAATTTCTTGATAGTCTTGAGATTTCATTTGTGCTCTGTACACATTCAAGACACCCCTGCCACCCTCTTCCAAAGGACATTATTTCAGAAGCACTGTGGCTTGTCCATATGCATTTTAGCAAATTCAAGCTTTTTATGCTTTTCCTTCAACCGTGGAATTTTCCTGGGTCTTCTTCATTTGACCCCATTGTTGCGCTAAACGCAACTTATGGTGTGATCAGACACTGTACAATGTCCCTTTTACAATGGAGTTTGGCTTGTGCCTCTCTGGAATTTTTCCTTGGCTCTTTGTCTTCTGTTTGCACTATCCTTCTATTCCGTCTGGGTCGGTTTTCCTCTTGCAGCCAATGTCCATTGAGGTTGGCTACACTCCAATGAACCTTAAATTTCTTGATAATATTTTCAACTGTAGTCATGTGAACTTCAAGCTGCATGAAAATTGGCCTTTAGGCTTTACCTTTGACAAACTGGTCAATAATTTTCTTTTTGAGCTCCTCAGACATCTCTCTCCTTTTGCTTTCCCTGGCCGATGTTCACTGTAGTGCACATGATGATATCAAACAGCAGGGTAACTACTTTTTTGCCTTTTAAAAAGGCTGACTGATTAATTAGTAACACAAGTCTTCAATCCTATAAAGTAAACTTTTTAAAATATCACACTGTTCCAATTACACTGTTCAACAAATTTTTATTTTTTGCCAGTTTTGGAAACAAAAGGATCCATTTCTTAATGAATTTCACATTCTGAGTTCAAATATAACAATGAAATTTGTCAATTGGCTCTAGTTTTTCTGTAAACGGAAAGTTTTCTACTATAGGCGTAATGACTACTACATAATGCACAATAATTATATAGATAGATGTCTTTCCACAAATATAAAGCAAGTGATATTGACTACATAACAAAGCCTAAATGGCATAATATATTGCATAGGATTACCAAGAAAAATTATAACCATAAGCTAAGTTGAATCATTTTAATACTTAGGATTCTCACTAGTTTTGTCTTCAGTTTGTGTCGGTTTTGCTTCTCTTGGCTTTTCTCTTGTATTCGAGGAAAGGGCTATCTCTTACAACTGCACGTGACTACACGCTTCAGGTTCTTCCTCACTTGACTCAACCACGAAGGATTCTGGTGCTTTAGGAATTGGTAGCCCCTCTCCATGAGGAACTGGACATATTGCCGATGGAATATTTGGATAGTGCACAGATAACTTTTTCTTCTTATTTAGCCCTTTTACAATTGGAGGCACCATACAAAAGTAACAATTACTAACATGATCTGTTGGCTCTCTCCAAATCATTGGCACAGCGAAAGGCATAGATGCCTTTTTTCCATTCAACCATTGCTCCAGTGCCGTCCCACAAGAATTGCAGCATATATGTGGTGCCCAGCTCTTGTCCTGGTCTCCTATCTTGCAGCCAAAATACAAGTTGTAGGCTTTCTTAATCATTCCTGTTATCCTCCTTTTTTGTGAGATAAAAGTTATTTCACCGCAGATATAGCAGAAATTATCTGCTTTATTCACACAAGTTCGAGGCATTACTGAGTAGCCTATATAAGCAGAAAACGAAATGTAAAGACGAACTCCAATCAGCTACAGATACTGCAGCTTTTATGCAGTGAACTGATGCAATTAAAGGCTAATATTGCATCATCTCAGTATACATGCAATTTTCTATTGGTCACCAGTATTAATTGCGCAATATGCAGCTGAAGTTGCATCATAATTTTGAATGGCTTACGTCATTAGATGGGTGAATATATCATGGAAACTAGAGCCAATCAACATTTTTTAGGGTCATTTTCATTGTCAGCACCCCAAAATTATGTAAGATTAGCTAATTTTATGCCCAAAACTTTTTACCTGTTGAACAGTGTTATTTATAATCTTTTCTACGGATACCAATGAATTTACCAGAACCTTTTTAGAATACCTCTTTACAATAAGCAATAATTTTATCTATTTTCACACTTTCTTCTCTTTACTCTGACATGCCAAGAGCATAATGGTATACATGAATTAGATATTATATCTGTAATGATTTAGAAACAATATATCATGTGGAAGATACTCCTCTGATACTATATACACAGATCGATTAAGAATGGGCAACTTCCCCATGATTTGCTGGTTGTAATGATAGGTAATTGCTGCACTTCACAAAAGAGCAGAAAGAGGAAGATTATTAGGCCTCTTTCACACGGGCGGTTGTTCTGCCACTTGCAAATGTTTTTTTTATTTTGAAACTCCCACACTCCTGGCACAGAGATCACTCGCATTTGTACATTGCGTTTATCTGCGATTACGTGTGTTTTAGCTGCGGTAGTAAATTCTTGCCTTTTCTAATGCAACTGTTTACTTAGTTTTTCTTTGTAGTGTGATTAACTGCGTTTATGTACAGATAGCTGCCGTACATCGCTCCTGGACGCGATCAACTTTATTTTACCTTTATCCTACACGCATAAAACCGTATGTTGTGAAAACGTTGCTAAACGCAGTGTGTAAATGGAGCCATAGGGATGCATTGTCTGCATTTAGCTGCAGTAAATATGTTCCTCTAGCTGCAGCTAAAAGCGGAAATCTAACCGTACGTGTGAAAGAGGCCTTACATTGGTGGGTAGTGAGTGAAATAATGCCTCCTTAACCCCTTGACGCCGACGTCACACAAATATGCGGCCTCATGGAACTGGGCTTTTGTGCTGGAAGCACGCCACACTACGCGCTCCCAGCACAAAGACCGCGGTGTCACTGAGAGCCCCGGGTCCCGCTCTAATGATCGGGACCCGGGACTCCTTATTCCGGGTCACATGATCGCTGTGATAGCCACTGATTTGCTATCACAGTGATCAGTTACTGTGCAGCCCGGCCCCCTGGTTTTTTTCTCTCCTGGCATAGAGAGAAAAAAAAATGTTTGTTGGAAAAAAAAAAGATAAATAAATATTAAAAAATAAAGAAAAAATACCTAGATCAAGTTTTGATCTAGTTCAGTGCCAGGGTTATTGTTTGGGCCAGGGTCAAAGGTCAAAAGGTCAGAGTGAAAGGTCAGGATTTAAAAAAAAAATTGGTGTCAATGTCAGTTTGTTTTTAGGTAAAAAGAAAAAGACAAAAAAAAAATGTGCACTATTGTTTCTGGGCTGTACTATGAGTACAAACAACAAATAACATACACATATATGATATCGCTGTGATCGTCAAGAGCTGGAGAATTGTTCTTTGGTGGTAGGTTATGGGAGTAACAAAAAACACACAGCTAAATAAAAAAAAAAAATTTTATTTTTTACTATTTTTGGCTAGTTTTCCTTTGATAATAAAAAAAATCAGGAGATATCCATTACCATTTTCCACCAAATGAAAGCTCAATTTGTCCTGAAAAAAATGCGGGATAATTCACCTGGATGTACAAAGTAGTTCTGATGATATGTACCGTTTTACTAACACATGTCAACGGTGCAAAATTGCACTTAGGCATTTAGATTTGTTTTACCCTTAGGCGTGAAGGGGTTAAGACAGATAATAAAGATCATTAGTGTCTTTATCTGAGAGATGAAGAGACACTTTTACACTAGCTTTGTGAATGACCATGGTACCAGAGCTATGCAGGTATCATTAAAGTTTTTTTAATGCTGAGGTTTAATCTGCTAATATTTTATCTTCTGCGGTTCCTCCCTTTCCCCCTCATCAACATGCTAATAACTTTTTAAATAAAACCTGTTTTCATTACCTTATTTTATGCCAGTGGTATCCTTACTGAATCTGTTTGCCTCTCTGTGCAATGCAGGCAAATCATGGCTTGTGGGAGGGGCCTGCAGGGTGCTGAATTTAACTTACTGAAAACCTCACAGCATCCTACCTCCGTGCTTCTCTAAAAAGGCCCTCAGCCCTGATGTTAGCAGTGGGCTGGCTCTTGGAAGGAGTTTTGCAAATATCAAAATGTTTTGATGGGTGGGTGGGTTTCTGGAAGAGTGGGCATTCCTGGGCAGGCTGTAGTCACAATACAGACTGCCCTAGGTGTTGCCCACATGTGGTACTGAACCTCCATGATTGAAAAACTGAAATACAAGGAATGAAAGGGTCAGACCAGAGACAGTCAGGCTTGTGATGCACACTGAGAACAGTGAAATCTTAGTAAGCAGTTTTATTATGGGAAAGTAGCCTGTACACTTTGGAAGACTGAAGGTTAGGCTGGAGTTAGGCTTTAATTTATTATGCTTGATGCAATTAAACATTATGAAGTTTCTTGATTACATGTTCTCTGTTTTATTTGTATTGACATAATACATTTATTGTTGTAGATGTGAATGTTCGAGTATCAGGCCTTACATTGTTGGGTGCTATTGTATCTGCTCAAGTACCTCTACCTGAGGTGCAGTTACTACTGCAGCAACCAGTTGTTTCATTGCTACCAAACAGTGGCCCCAGCACCATTACACGGCTCAGTGATCCTGACTGGTGGAGAAAGGAGACCTTTCCAGAATTAGATGTAATCAGTGAAATAAACCCTCAACATTCACTGGCTGAGCCATGCTGGCTAGTACGTTTGTGTATATCACTGGTGATCAATCCAAGGGAAGACTCCTATTCTGACAGTGATATCTGCTCTGCCACTGCTGTCCAGTATGAACCCTCTCCTGTCCGCTTGGAAGCTTTGCAGGTATAAATTTTCATCTGATTACTAAGAAAACGTGGATATTTCAGTTTAGTTTTTTTTTTATAGATACATGAGTTCAACCACCTTACAATTTTGTATATGTCTGAAGGATTGCTGGTGATACATCTTTGCCTAAGTTCTTGGGTCTGCACATCTGCTCTGGCCTTTACAAGAGTACAGACTCTTCCCTATTGTCACACCTATGTAAGGTATGAACAGGACACATAAAAAACAATTGTTAAGCAGCAAAAAACAGCTCAGTGGACATGATGTGAACAATCCCCTGGAGTTTTAATGATTTTATATTTTGTATAATGTGGTAGGAGGTTCTGGAACATGCAGTTGGGTGAGATTTTCTAAAAAAAGGCAGACAGGAACAAGATAAGTATTTTTGGCAGTGAGATCTTGCTACTGTAACACTCAAGACATGTAATAGCTATGTTAGAAATAGAACATGATGGCTTGGATCAGCCAGTCTATCACCTTTGGGTAAACAGAAGTCATATCAGAAAAAAAAAGGTGAATGCTGCATTTGTTGTCACTTGGATATGGTCAGCCAACCTGTGGTTCATGAGTTTTTTTTTTTTTTTAATACTAAAATGCAGGATTTGTAGAGGTAAGCTGCAGTGAAGAATTAAGTGTACCTTACCTGTCGGAGGGGCTTTGGGGAAATATCAGGGGTCTAAACAGACCCCTGATGTCTCACAATATTTGAGACCGAGAAAGGGACTGAGAACAGAAATTCCTCAGCCCCTTTCTCTGCAGCCTCAGCTGCACTGGACGGTGAATAAATGTGAAGTGCTCTGTTCATAGTAAACATATTTTACTATGCTTCAGTTGTGAATGAATGCAGTCAGTGACCAGTACTGATCACTGTCAGTGTTCATTCGGAAAAGAAATGGGCCGGTAATCTACATATTACCAGCCCCTTCTCCTGCTCTCCATCCTCAAACTTTCCCTGCAGCAGTGGGAGGGAGCACCTGGGGGACTGGGTAACACAAGGAAGAGGAACCTGATGAGGGGGGGGGGGGGGGGGGCATTTAGTGGAACCAATGGGCTGTATTTTCCTCCCTGCAGCAACTGAGCCAACAAGAAGGGAGAGGAGAAGCGGGTATTGACGGTATTCAGCTGCTGCAGGGAGGAAGATCCAGCCCATCCTCCAATAAATGCCACCCTCCCTCTACATTTTCCTGGGTCGGCAACCTAGGGATGCAATCTTCCTGTCAGCTGCTTGTGATGGATGTATTGCTGACATCGGTGCTACAGCTTCCCTGCACAGATCATTGCATTTAGTGTTACCGATTTTATCTTAATGTAATTTTGGAGTTTTTAGGTCTTATGCATAGATTAATATTCATAAACACATCAACTTATTTTTTTTAAACATTGCATATTGTTTAGGTGTTGGCTCGTCTGGTAAAGGGATATTTCAATATGGCACAGAGCTATCTTATGGAGTTGGGAGAAGTTGCTTGCAAATGTATGCAGGAGATGGATGCATCAATTCAGCTGCATGGCGCAAAGGTAAAGTGGGTTCTAATTTTTTTAAATGTTCTGTTATATGAGAAAGCACGTAATTGGTATATTTTTGTCTTTAAAACCTATTTGTGGATGGGAACATTTTTTTACTTGCTTATTTTATAATATGTTTGTATATTTCAGCTTTTAGAAGAGCTGGGTACTGGGATAGTCCAGCAGCAGAAAACTGATTTGTTAATCCCTACTGAAAAGAAAGTGACTGTTAGTCAGGTAAGTGCCCTATCTAGTGTTCGTTTTTGTCTGAAATATCTTTTTTTTTTTTTTTTAAGACCTCTTACAGGACATCATTGAGCGAGAAGGCTCCATCCACCTACAAACGGAAACACATCATCCACCATTAGTTGGAAAAAAAATCTACCCGAGCGCCCCAGTTAATTGTATTTCCTCTAACCTAACAAGCGCATCAATAGTTCATTATTTTATGCTAGTTGCAAGGGCCTCCCAAGTCAGCTACCCATATCTGCAGTACAGTTGACGACAGGGTGTGTTGGCCAGGAACAGTAGGGGAGAATTATGGAGGTTTCCTCTATCCTGTGTCGTGTGTGTGCGTGCCCCAGAGGTTTCTCTTCCAGTTGGGAGCCTGCAACCATCCCCTCAGGCTCCAAGCGTAGGTGAGCAGTCTAATATTTTGTACGCCATATTGTTTTTCCCCTTACCTTTTTGCAAGCCTATGTCTGGTGGGCCTCCGAGTGGATGTCCTGGGGTTGGTATTGTTTCTCTCCCCATGGGTTAGCAACCATCACACATACCACTAAATACAGTATATCAGAACTGTTTTTTATCTGCTTAAAGATTTAAAATTCTGTTCAGCTAATCTAGTGATACTGATGACATGAAATTCCATTAATGACAATATACAGTAAATTCCTGTGATTTTTAAATCAAAAGTAAATGATTAGTTAGGGTTTCATTATGTTTACAAATATATTATTTAAGTTTGTTGTAAAAATTATATTTTTATCATAAATTACAAGCAGCTCAGCATATTTGGCAACTGATACGTGTAACTCTGTTTTATGCTTACATACTTGTATGTATGCTTAAAGTGTATTTTCATTTTTGCAGTTATGTTTGAGAGAATCCCATTTTATGTTTGTGCCCACTTTCAAACAGCATGACTAAAAGAAAAAAACATTTCATCCTTTTTTAGATGTTACTCATGGCTAAATCTCCTCTCAGACAGTGTTCATATCTAGTTTAGAACTAGATAATAAGATGTGCCAGAACAGTACAGACAGGGTTGATTATGACAAGCAAAAAGAGTAGTAGTTCCCATGAGCCCACTACCAAAGTAGGTAATAAACACCCAAGCATTTTAGCTCATATGTAAAATCACATATTTTTATTAATCCCTTGTAGGGAGAAAAAGATAATATCCGTGGATGGTGACATGTACAATCACTGAATACACATTAAAAACCATGAAAGACAAGCAATCCGGATTGCAACATTTGAATATTCTTATTGTATTCACTTAAGACTGGTTTGAGATATAAAGCAGCATATTTGGATGAATAGCCAAATTCTGCCATGTATCACAAGGCTTAGTGTTGTGAACATACAGTCAGGTCCATAAATATTGGGACATCAACACAATTCTAACATTTCTGGTTCTATACACCACCACCATGGATTTGAAATGAAACGAACAAGATGTGCTTTAACTGCAGACTGTCAGCTTTAATTTGAGGGTATTTACAGTTGCAAGAAAAAGTATGTGAACCCCTTGGGATTACGTGGAGTTTTGCATGAATTGGGCATAAAAATGTGCTCTGAACGTCATCTAAGTCGGGGGGGGGGGGGGGGGGGATAATACTACACAAACATTAGATGTTGCCATGGTTTAATTGCACATAACATGTAAACATTCACAGTGCAGGGAGGAAAAAGTATGTGAGGCCCTAGCTTAATGACTTCTCCCAGAGCTAATTGGAGCCAGGAGTGAGCCAACCTTGACTCCAATCAGTGTGATGATATTGGATGTGTTGCTGATAGCTGTCTTGCCCTTAAAAAACACACACCTGTTTTGGGTTTACTGGTTTCAAGAAGCACTGTCTGATGTGAACCATGCCTCTCAGAAAAAGAGCTCTCAGAAGACCTACGATCAAGAATTGTTGACTTGCATGAAGCTGGAAAGGGTTACAAAAGTATCTCCAAAAGCCTTGATGTTCATGTGTCCACGGTAAGACAGACTGTCTACAAATCAAGAAAGTTTAGCACTGTTGATACTCTCCCTAAGCGTGGTCGTCCTGTAAAAATGACTGCAAGAGCACAGCGCAGAAATGCTGCATGAGGTAAAGAAGAATACAGAGTGTCAGCTAAAGACCTACAGAAATCTCTGGCACATGCTAATATTTTTGTTGACACATCTACAATAAGGAAAACATTAAACAAGAATGGAGTACATGGGAGGACACCACGGAGGAAGCCATTGCTGTCCAAAAAGAATATTGCAGCACGTTGAAGTTTGCAAAAAAGAGCACCTGGATGTTCCACAGCACTACTGGCAAAATATACTGTGGACAGATGAAAACCAAGATTGAGTTGTTTGGGAAGAACACACAACACTATGTGTGGAGAAAAAAAGGCACAGCATGCCAACATCAAAACCTCATCCCCAGCTGTAAAACATGGCGGAGGGAGCATCATGTTTGGGTCTGCTTTGCTGCCTCAGGGCCTGGACGGATTGTTGTCATTGATGGGAAAATGAATTCCAGAGTTTATCAAGACATTTTGCATGAAAACGTACGACCATCTGTCCGCCAACTGAAGCTCCGCAGAGGATGGGTGATGCAACAGGACAATGACCCAAAGCATACAAGTAATTCAACAAAACAATGGCTGCAACAGCACAGAATACGCTTTCTGGAGTGGCCCAGTCAGAGTCCTGACCTCAACCCGATTGAAATGCTTTGGCATGACCTTAAGAGAGCGATTCACACCAGACATCCCAAGAATATTCCTACACTGAAACAGTTTTGTGAAGAGGAGTGGTCCAAAATTACTCCAGATCATTGTGCAGGTCTGATCTGCAACTACAGGAAACGTTTGGTTGAGGTTATTGCTGCCAAAGGAGGGTCAACCAGTTATTAAGTTCCAAAGGTTCACATACTTTTTCCCTCCCATGCACTGTGAATGTTTACATGTTATGTGCAATTAAACCATGGCAAACATCTAATGTTTTTGTAGTAATTATGTTCAGCAGACTGTGTTCTTCTATTGTTGTGACTTAGATGACGTTCAGACTCAAAAAAAAACATTTTATGCCCAATTCATGCAAAACTCCACGTAATCCCAAGGGGTTCACATACTTTTTCTTGCAACTGTACATTCCAAATCAGGTGAACGGTGTAGGAATTACAACAGTTTTCATATGTGCCTATGGGTTAAGGGACCAAAAGTTAATGGACAGAATAATAATCATAAATCAAACTTTCACTTTTTAATACTTGGTTGCAAATCCTTTGCAGTCAATTACAGCCTGAAAATCTGAACGCATAGACATCACCAGACGCTGGGTTTCATCCCTGGTGATGCTCTGCCAGGCCTCTACTGCAACTGTCTTCAGTTCCTGCTTGTTCTTGGGGCATTTTCCCTTCAGTTTTGTCTTCAGCAAGTGAAATGCATGCTCAATCGTATTCAGGTCAGGTGATTGACTTGGCCATTGCATAACATTCCACTTCTTTCCTTAAACTCTTTGGTTGCTTTTGCAGTATGCTTTGGGGTATTGTCCATCTGCACTGTGAAGCGGCGTCGAATGAGTTCTGAAGCATTTGGCTGAATATGAGCAGATAATATTGCCCAAAACACTTCAGAATACATCCTGCTGCTTTTGTCAGCAGTCACATCATCAATAAATACAAGAGCCAGTTCCATTGGCAGCCATACATGCCCACGCCATGACACTACCACCACCATGCTTCACTGATGAGGTGGTATGCTTAGGATCATGAGCAGTTCCTTTCCTTCTCCATACTCTTCTCTTCCCATCACTCTGGTACAAGTTGATCTTGGTCTCATCTGTCCATACGATGTTGTTCCAGAAATGTGAATGCTTTTTTAGATGTCGTTTGGCAAACTCTAATCTGGCCTTCCTGTTTTTGAGGCTCACCAATGGTTTACATCTTGTGGTGAACCCACTGTATTCACTCTGGTGAAGTCTTCTCTTGATTGTGGACTTTGACACACATACACCTACCTCCTGGAGAGTGATCTTGATCTGGCCAACTGTTGTGAAGGGTGTTTTCTTCACCAGGGAAAGAATTCTTCAGTCATGCACCACAGTTGTTTTCCGTGGTCTTCCAGGTCTTTTGGTGTTGCTGAGCTCACCGGTGCGTTCCTTCATTTTAAGAATCTTCCAAACAGTTGTTTTGGCCACGCCTAATGTTTTTGCTATCTCTCTGATGGGTTTGTTTTGATTTTTCAGCCTAATGATGGCTTGCTTCACTGATAGTGACAGCTCTTTGGATCTCATCTTGAGAGTTGACAGCAACAGATTCCAAATGCAAATAGCACACTTGAAATGAACTCTGGATGTTTTATCTGCTGATTGTAAATGGGATTATGAATGAAATAACACACACCTGGCCATGGAACAGCTGAGAAGCCAATTGTCCCATTACTTTTGGTCCCTTAACAAGTGGGAGACACATATGAAAACTGTTGTAATTCCTACACCGTTCACCTGATTTGGATGTAAATACCCTCAAATTAAAGCTGACAGTCTGCAGTTAAAGCACATCTTGTTTGGTTCATTTCAAATCCATTGTGGTGGTGTATAGAGCCAAAAATGTTAGAATTGTGTTGATGTCCCAATATTTATGGACCTGACTGTATATGTAATACATGCACAATAATAGCAGTGAGACAAAAAATTAGCCAAGTATATAGCTAGATATGCATAATCATGATCATTAGATGCGTGAGAACTGCAAAAAATGCAGATTGAAAAAAGAAATGAGTATGTCCATTTGTAGAGTGAAAAAAGGAAATTCCATGGAATTATACAGTGTTGAAAGATTCATACTGTCCCATGTTCCTTCATAGCTTGAATACTGTGTGGTTTATGCCTCAATATATCGTGAAAATATGTGGATATCTTTATCCCTTCTGGGTGTTCCTCCAGATAAACATCATGGCAAATGTATTCAGTACCGACGTCATCACACACGGAAGCAACGTCCTACGTGGTTGATATCATGGACTGGTGAGAGCAGTCATGTTACTGCGCCACTCGATATGCTTCATGATCCGGCGGGAACTCTGCATGAGGAACAACTCATAATATGAGGTCAGACCATTAACCTGACGGGAATTGTGTGGAAACTTCACTCTGTCTACAGCATGACAAAGTTTCAACGGGCTGAGAACTCATTTCCTTGGAAACGGCTAGGTCATTAGCCAGTATGACGGTGCTTTACTATACATTTGTCATGATGTTTATCTGGAGGAACACCCAGAAGGGATAAAGATATCCACATATTTTCACGATTTGGCTCCAAAAGTAGATATACACTTTAACTTCTTGCCATCTACATAACCCATTACATAATCAGGGTGGGCTTTAACACCCGCATGCCACACACATGCGTCCATAGGTAGCTGAGGTTTCTGTGTTGGGAGTTTGCTCATTATGAATGTGCAAGTGGTCAAAGACCGATCCTGGTCTCTAGTTTTGATCAGGAGCTATCAGGACTGGCCCCCAGTCATGTAACCACTGCAATCACAGTGATCAAGTGATCAAGCCCCCTGGGGCACAATAGCCCAGTTAAAGGGACACTGAGGCTGGTTGGGAAGGGGTTAAACATTTGCTAACATAATCTGTAAACAATAAAAAAACTATATTTCCTAACTTTCCTCCAACTCACAGTATAGATTTTTCCTATGCAGGCCGTAGCATTTTGGAACATGATTCTGAATGGTCCTTTTACCAGCAGCCTTGCAGAATGAGCAACATCCTACCCTTCAAACAACTGCTTGTGATGCGTTGTCATCTGTCTTACCGGAGGCATTTACCAGTTTACCAGTAAGTATTTGTCAGTGTAAAAAATAAAACCTTTTCTTTTCTAGCATCAGAGGGGTCAGTGCAACCTTTGGTACTTGTTTAAACAGTTACTCAATCCACAAAGGAATTCTGCATTATAGATTAAGACAAAGTGCACTTATTCTTATTGTCCCCGTGCTCTGACCAGGGGCGGACTGACCATTTGGAAACTCGGGCACTGCCCGAGGTCAGTAGGGGACCCCATGACATGCCCCTGGTACCTTTTTCATAGGCTTTTTTGAGTTTTGGCAAGGACACAGGGGCCCCATGATCCCCTATTGCCCGGGGGCCCCATGAGTTGTCAGTCCGCCCCTGGCTCTGACCTAAAATTTTTAACCCACCCCTCCACAGATCAGTGCTTACCAAGATCCATTGCCTGCAGCACTTAGAAATTGATAACTACTTCCCCTCTAAAGTATTTTTTTTTTTTAATTTTTTGCACACATGAAAATCTGAATTTTTGTCTAGAAAATTTAATTAAACCCCCAGAATATTATTTTTTCTAAAAGCAAAGGTTCTGTAGAAGAAGTTGAAATTTTTTTATCTTGTATGATATTTTCAGTATTTAACTGTTTATCAAATGTAAATTTTCAGAAAAAAAATACACTAAAATGAATATTAGTGCACACAAACCCAATATAATACACATTTTATTTATTTATTCAATTTTTGGAAAAGGTAAAAGATGAGGTTATGCCATGTCCAAAGGTGTTATGTGCTAAGCTCTTCTGGTTGACACTTCTGCAGAGGAGATCAGGGAATGGATGTTCCCCGATCCCCTGTGTGCCTGCAAAACAAAGGAAAAATTACAGTACTAAAATATGTAATGATTTAAATGCTTTTTATGGCTCATCAGGTTTAAAGTGGCCTGTAAACGAAGGGCCCGCAATTATTGCCTAACACGTGGTGCAGTCACTGTCTACATATACATACACACCCAACATGCGTGTTTGTGTGGATAGGCTTATGGAGATGCTTTTACATTTTTTTTTTTTTTTTTTTTTTAATATATTTACCTTTATAACCTTTTGAAAATGAGCTTTTACTTGGACCCTGTGCCATAGCAATACAGTAATAAGCCCCTTTTTGAGAGGACTGGCAAGTGACTGGTCCTCTTTATGGAGATCAGAGGTCTATTAGACCCTTAATATTTCCACTGTAGTCAAACAAGCACAAGAGTGAGCTCAGTCTGCTGTTTACCCAGCTTTCTAGCTGGAATTTTCACAAGGTTGAACCAAAAGTGCTCAGTGCTGAGCACTTCTGGTTGACACTTCTGCCGAGGAGATCAGGGAATGGATGTTCCCCGCTCCTCTCAGGATGCTGCTATTGCAGCTGTGAGATTGTTTAACCAGTTCATTCTTTGGACATACCAAACATGTTTAAAGAGGAAAACCTAGATAAAATGCCATGCTGTAAAACCCTTTGTTGGCCGCACCTGTACATCCGTACAGGCTCCTTTGGGGCTGTTAACCAGACCGGGATATGGACTTGGAGAGGCACAGCCAAGAGAAATCCAAAAAGTAAATCATCCCCCAAAGATGTGGGTGATGGATTTCTGCAAGTACGAATCTGTGGGAGGGTGAGGGTGGGACAGTTTTGGTCAGGGCATGAAAGGTCTGAAAGTGCATTTATGTAAGTTTTACTCCTTATTATGAAGAAAAATTAGTTTTAAAACTTAAAAGTGCACATTTTACTTTATCACTGGTCTACAGTGCAAAGAAAACAAACTTTTTGGAAGACAATATTGCCAAATATAATATGGTGTGTTTCCTCTCCAAAAAAAAACAAGAAATGCATTTCTGCATCATAGATAAATTACATAATTATTGCAAAATTCAACATTTGGATGCACTTTTTGATTCGGAAACTACTTGGTAGATACATTTACAATTATATGTAAAATTATGCACTGGGGGCTAAAAGTATGCTGTGTGTGTGTGTGTATATGTATGTATGTATGTATATATATATATATATATATATGTGTGTGTGTGTATATACAGTGGGGATCGAAAGTTTGGGCACCCCAGCTAAAAATTTGTATTCATGTGCATCTCCAAAAAGCATCAAGTTACAGATTAGACGTTCTTATAATATGTCAACAAAAGTTAGATTTTATTTCCATCATTTACACTTTCAAAATAACAGAAAACAAAAAAATGAATTGAACATACCTGATATACAATATAATCTAGGGCAGGGGTCTGCAACCTTTAAGACATAAAGAGCCACTTGGACCCGTTTCCGTGTAGAGGGAAAAAAAGACTGGGAGCCGCAAAACCATTGCAACATTTAAAACAAATCCGACACTGCATATATTGCAAAAAACGCTCTGGTCATGAGGGGGTTTAAGGGCCCAGTAAGCAAAGGGTTAATCAGGGCCACAGTGTATCGTCATAATCACAATCATAGCCTTAGGTCAGTGGTGGGCAACCTTTTTTTTCGACCGAGCCAAATCTCGCCAAAACCACGATTGAAATTTATTTTGAGAGAAACATTTTTAAAACTGAAAATACATCCCCCATATAGTAATTCATCCCCCCTATAGTAATTAATCCCCCCTATAGTAATTCATCCCCCCTATAGTAATATCCCCCCATATAGTAATTCATCCCCCCTATAGTAATTCATCCCCCCTATAGTAATTCATCCCCCCTATAGTAATTCATCCCCCATATAGTAATTCATCCCCCATATAGTAATTCATCCCCCCTATAGTAATTCATCCCCCATAGTAATTCATTCCCCATATTGTGTGAATTCACTTACCTTTGCTCCGCGCGTTCCTCTCGCTGGGTTCCCGCGCCGTTCTGGTCTTCAGGGCGGACTGTGAGAGGAGAGGAGTTCGTCACGCTGCCCCGCCTACATCCGGGCTGCCCCGCCTACATCCTGACAGCCAATGTTTGCCAGCGGGCGCCCGGCACACAGAAGATCTGCATTAAAAGAGCCGCGGCTTGCCGACCCTATTGCCTGTCACCTGGTGGGCAATGTGCTCCGGAGCCGCAGGAAAGGTGAAAAAGAGCCGCATGCGGCTCCGGAGCCGCGGGTTGCCGACACCCGATCTAGGGTATACTGATTTTTCACAAACCTGCGCACACAAAAAGGATCTGGGTGCCCTGGTTTTTCACAAAACTAATAATGATACCAATCTGCATCTTCTAAAGCAAGCAAGATACTTTGTTGTATTAAAATTGTTATAGGTTTAAGAGGTAGAAATATTATCTTGCCTCTATAGAAATCTATAGTAAGACATCATCTTGAATGTGCAGTTAATTTTTGAGCATCAAAAAAGTATGTTGCAGGAATGGAGAGTGCACCAAGAAGGACAACAAAATAAATAAGGGGTATGGGTATGAGTTAAATCTCCGCTATGAGAAAAGCTATGAATGAAATCTCTCATTCATTGAGGATAAAAAGTCTTCCACTTTTGGGTTACACTACCACCTATAGGATAATTGGACACTTGCAAATTAAAAAAAAAAACCCAAAAAAGTGCAGGCTAGCTCAGGATAACGTCTTCTACTGCCAGCCTGCCTAAAGCACAACTACTGTGCATCTGAGTACAACAAACCAAAAATGCTATTTATTTTATTTTTAATATTCAACGCAAACTCACCCATCTACTGTATCTATGTCTAAGTGCTTTATTTTGCCGAGAAATCACTTTGGAAAATACCCCCTAGCATTTCTGGCTATGAATATCTTGAGCAAGGGCAGATGATTTGTGTAGCATTTTTACTTCCTGGAATCCATGTGCCCTTAGCTCAGGCATGAAGACAGGAGGGTGTGCGTAGCTGAACAGCAACTACATAAATGTAAAAAAAAAAAAAAAAAAAAAGAATGTGATGTGAAAACATGTTTAAAACAAATAGATAGGAAAGTATATCACATTTACTTAATAATGCTAACAGTGTACAGTGTAAGAATTAAAAATGGTTAATGTTGATTGAGAAAATGAAGTTCCACTTTAAGTTTTTTTTTTTTTTTTTTTTTATAGTGTCCTCGGAGGATGGGTGTCTTCAGCTCTATCTTTTTATAAGAATAGCCTATTCACAGTGGCACAGTGATCCTCAGCCTGGATTTTGGAGTGCCGGGTCCAGACCCTGCTGGACTAAATGTTGCAGGGATAGCCTGGAAGTGACCTTCTGGCATTGGGTTCCATGCAGAGTGTTTTCTAGACTCTGATGAGGTTAGCTGTGGAGTGCTTTGCAGAGCTGCTGGCATTGTCTCTGCATCATGCCTATCTCTGAAGACTCACTTTTGTTAGTAAGTTGGTTGGGCTGAGCATTGGGAACTACCTTAATAACATAAATAACTGGATTGCAGGAAATACCCCATTTCCTGCTGCGTAAGGGGTTAATGCTGAGGGAATGCATTCTATCCACTGTAAGTAATGTCTGGCTTTGTGGAGAGCTGCGAATAGCTGCAACCGCCAGCGGCCTGTCATTATAGTGAACGGAGGCTGCGGCTGCAATTCGCACCGGCCTAAATCCCTGGTGTGACTGTAGCCTTACAATGCCAAGGGTATAAAATGAAAGTGTATGCTGTGAGCATAGAACTATATTAACATATGGCATGTATTAAAATATGGACCTTTTATTGTTAGTGAGGTGCTGATCACTTGTTTGTAAATGGGTATTAATATTTATAAACAATAACACTCTATATTGTGGATTCAGGAAGTATCTGATTGCCTTCTTTTGCCTTCCTCAGTATCAACAGAAAGTTTAGTGTCCTGAGGATGCAATGATTTTATTTTTGTGTTTTTTGGTTAAAGTTATATTTAAAGGAAATTAAAATAAGATAACAAAGATGTCATGCTTACCTGCTCTGTGGTGTTGTTTTTGCACAGAGCAGCCCTGATCCTCTTCTTCTCGGGTCTTCCGCCAGTGCTCCTGGCCCCTCCCTCCTGACGAGTGCTCCGGGTGAAAGCAGCTTGCTATGGGTGCACCCAAGCAGGCTCGCTCTTGTATGCATTTACCCACAGAGCCATGTGTCTTCCCCGCTCCCTCTCTCCTCATTGGCTTACTGGCTGTGATTGACAGCAGTGGGAGTCAATGGCTCCCACTGCTGTCTCAGCCAATGAGTAGGAAGAGTCCACAGATTGCTAAGGCTCTCATGCACATCGCTGGATCACGATTGGGTTCAGGTAAGTATTGGGGGGGGGGGGGGAACTGCACACAGAAGGTTTTTTACCTTCACGCATAGAATGTAGCCTTTTCAACCACTCTAAAATCATGCACCTGAGCCTTTGTTTCAAACAAACTATGTAGCTATTTTAAAAATTGTCCCAATTAAAGTATAAAATAGGGCAAACTTTTCTTTTTTTTTTGTAGTTTTTGGATAGAGTGGAGAGGTATTAGAACACCTGTCAGTTTTTAATGTTGTCTTTGCCCCCATTAGGGAGATCATTATTATTTGTGTTGTACCCAGAAAAGTAATAGAGGAGAAATCTTCCAGTGGAGTCCCCAAGGAATTCCTTTAATTTGCAAGGATTTCCTCTCACTTCCTGTTTTGGATCATGTAGCAGGAAGTGAAGGAAAATCTGCAATGGAAACAGATGGCAAAAAAAAAAATCTGACAAGGGTTATAACCCTCTCTTACTCTATCCAAAATGGGGAGAAACATTTTTGCCTATAGTTCTACTTTACTGCAAATTTTAGTTTTTCAAGGGAAACAGCTGTGTGGGAGAAATTGTTAAAATGTTGTAACCTTCCAATTGCAGGATGACTGTCAGATACTTTGTATAACACTGTTGCTTGGCCTGAACCATAGTGAAAACCCACTAGTGAAGGCAGCTGCTGCACGAGCTCTTGGTGTGTACATACTGTTCCCTTGTCTTCGGCAGGTAGGAGAACTTTGTTTTATTTTGTTTAAACTATGACTTGCTATAGTATCTCTTTTATCATCTTACATAATAGAACTGACCAGAAATGCTAAACATCTCTGCGTTCTGCATAATACTTGTCTTGCAACTTGTTAGAAGTGATAGGTGTTGATAACAGAGAAATGAAGCAGCAGACAGAAATGACACTTGGTACTCTTAATTGAGGCAAGTACACACTATAGAGGGATATGCTTTGTTCATATTTAATATCTGAGGTTTACAACCACTTTAAACTTCTAAACAAATAAAAAATAGTACAGCTAACCAAAATGTATGATGTGTAACACAAAGGGGTTTATTTACTAAAGCTGGTTCACTCAGAATCTCATGCACCTGTGGCCAATCAGCTTCTAATCTCAGCTTGTTCAATTAAGCTTTAGCAATAAAACCTGGAAGCTGATTGATTTCTATGCAGAAGTGCACGATATTCTGAGTGAACCAGCTTTAGTAAATATACCTCAAAATGTCATGAGCAAAATGTGCATCTACAAACTTCATAAATAAAAGTGAACCAAGTAAATATGTATTGACCAGTCTTACATACAGTTATGTGCAGAAGAAAATAAAGTGAAGAAAAATGAAAAAATGACAAGTCCACAAGTGATCTTCTTACCACAGTGTTTTTCAGTGCCACCAGTAGTACTCCCCTTTGCCACCTCGTGACTGCAAATCATGTCACCTTAAAATCTGAACTCTTACAGGAGTACTAATAACACTTGTTGAAAAGAAAGGATTAAAATCTTCCTCAATGACCTTAAGGCTCCATGTACAATGGGATGTTTAACAACGCTGGTAGCGGTAGCTGTGTAAAGTTACGTTTAGCTTTTTTTTGCGTTCGCTTTGGAGCGTTTTTTCCACATTTTGCATTTTTTTTTTTTTTTTAACCAAAAATTTTTTTTTATTTTTTTTTTTGCTCAAAAACGCCGGTTTTGCTAGCATTAGAGCACGTTTACAGCTAAAAAAAACTCCTCTAGATTCCCACTAGTTCTGTTTTTTTTTTTTTTCCCAGCCAAAAAAAATGCTCCTGCCAAAATAACGCTGATTGCAGCCTATGTGTGCATGGACACATAGGATAACATGCTGGGGAGTTTACTGGCTGTAGAAAAAAAACACCAAAAGCCAAAAACAGCCGCTGTAAAAACGTACAGTGTGCATGAGGACTTGGAGCTGATGTAGCATACTTGCAACAATGTCTCCACAGCACAGGTCAGACATGGAAAAATGCATAAAACCACAGAAAAAATAGCGCTTACTGTTTGGCAATTTATTATATTTCAAAGTGTGAGATAGCGAACATTATCAGACAAACAGCATGTATACAGAGACAGCTTCCAGTAATGGAAGAAAGTGGTTCACGTTTGTTTTATGATATACATGTATCACGTGTATGTAGATATACATTTTGCTTATGAGATTTTGTGCTGTACGATCATATATTTTAGTTAGCGTTGCACTTCTTTTTGGTTTGCACATGACAAAGGATTTCCAAAGCTCTGTTTGTTAAAAAATAGCAGAAGAATATCCTTTCCAAACTGTTATCTCCTATTACAGCTTTGTACTGAGCCATTTGAGAACAACCATTGTTTGCTCTGACTAATCAAGTCCTGCCTGTAAATTTTATTTTGAGATCTGGACCTCTGCAAAAATATGAGGTTTCTTACAATATATAGGAGCTGGAAAGTACAGTGAAAGACTAGTGCTCCGTCTGCTTGCTAGAAAAACAGTTGTATGCTAATCACACGCAATAGTTTGTATTTTTTTTTGCTCTTTAGACAAGTAAATATATTTGCTTTTTTTGTCCTGTTACTAAGTAAAACCTTTTTGGAACATGCACTGTACAAGTTAGTGTATAAAAGTACAGGAGTCAGGAGTATGCAACGTAACAAGTGCAAGGGTCAGGGGTATGTAGTGTACCGAGTGTAGGGGTCAGGAAAGAGTAAATATGCAGACTGCAGAGGCCAGGAGTATGTCACGTACAAATTAAAGGCTTTAGTAACATATAGAGTGTAGGGATCAGGCGTATGATAGCTATACGGTTCTTTACATGCTTCTGACCTCTGCACTCTTATGGAGTAGTTGAAGAATTTAAGCAAATATTGTAGTGGATATGTAAAGTGCACTTTTGTTCATAATGCAACATTTAAAGTGACACTAATGCAGGCCATAGATGGGTCGAAAATCGGCCGATTTTTTTCGGCCGAAAATAAAATCGGCCGATTTTCGGATCGTTAGTGGGCGATTTGGTCGGCCGTTTTTTTTTTGGTATTTTGGCCGTTTTTTTTTTTTTTTTTTTCGGTAAAATTGGAAAAAAATCGGCCGATTTTGCCGATCGGCCGATTTTCGCGGCAATTAGTGGGCAAATCGGCCGATTTTTTTTTACCGATAAAAAATCTGCGCATGAGCAGTGACCTGCAAGAGGAAGACAAAAAGAAGAAAAAGAAGAAGAGGGGAGACGGTGAAGAAGAGGATGAAGAAGAAGAGGAAGAAGAAGAGGATGAAGAAGAAGAGGATGAGGATGAAGAAGAAGAAGAGGATGAGGATGAAGAAGAAGAAGAGGATGAAGAAGAAGAAGAGGATGAAGAAGAAGAAGAGGATGAGGACGAAGAAGAAGAAGAGGATGAGGAGGAAGAAGAGGATGAAGAAGAAGAGGATGAGGATGAAGAAGAAGAGGATGAGGATGAAGAAGAAGAGGATGAGGATGAAGAAGAAGAGGATGAGGATGAGGAAGAAGAAGAGGAGGACGAGGATGAGGAAGAAGAAGAGGAGGACGAGGATGAGGAAGAAGAAGAGGAGGACGAGGATGAGGAAGAAGAAGAGGAGGACGAGGATGAGGAAGAAGAAGAGGAGGACGAGGATGAGGAAGAAGAAGAGGAGGACGAGGATGAGGAAGAAGAAGAAGAGGAAGAAGTAGGATGAAAATAAGAATTCCAGTCCAGCAAAAAGTGTCTCTGCAGAGAGCTCCGCTATTTCTGACAGTTCTCTGACAGTTCCTTCACATTTACAGCGGTTGAAACATTGTATCTATTTGTTTCCGAATAAAAACATCTGTATCCTAAATGGAAACAAATAGATACATTGTTGCAACTTCTATAAATGTCAAGGAAACTGTCAGAGAACTGTCAAAGAAATAGCAGAGCTCTCTGCAGGGACACTTTTTGCCGGCTCTAGACGGGTAGAAAATCGGCCGATTTTTTTTTTACCATTGATGGTAACGTCGGCCACTTGAACAACCGATTTTTCGTTTTTTTAAAAGAAAAATCTGCAGTTTTTCTCCCCATCTATGGCCTGCATAAAGCTTCATTTTTTTTTTTTTTTTCATTTAAAAACAAACATGTCTATACTTACCTGCTCTGTGCAGTAGTTTTGCACAGAGCAGCCCCAATCCTCTTCTTTTCAGGTCCCCGTCAGTGCTCCTGGCTCCTCCTCAAGCTGTCACCCCAGGAAAAACCGCTCACCTTACTGCTGCTACGTGCTCGTCCCCGAGCTGCTGCTTTATGAATCCATAAGACACATATAGCTATGGCTTGGTCCTGCCCAATCTCTCTCCTCATTGGCTCACTGGCTGTGATTGACAGCAGTAGGATCCAGTGGGCTCCCACTGCTGTCTCAGCCAGTGAGGAGGAAGAGTCCCCAGACAGCAGAGGCTGTTAAGAATGTTATTGGGGCGGGCTGGGGGGGAGCCTCTACACACATTTTTTTTTTTTACCTTCATGCATAGAATACATGAAGGTAAAAAACCTTGAGCCTTTTTAACCACTTTAACAGTAAACCCCAGCAATTACTTGATCTTATTCCCAAGCAAAAATTCCCTCTACCCCCCCCCCCCCCCCCCCTCTTCCCCAAAATTGCTTACTTGCCTATCTGCAGACCACAATAGGCATTCAAAGGAGTACTACAAAGAAAAAAAAAAACTAACCTGAAAAGCAAAGCAGTGGCTAGTGCAGCTCCTACCAGGCTTTTTATTTTCTTTTCAGCGTTGCATCATTTGACATATCAGAGCCAAGGAGAATTCAGGGTAAGCTTCCCTTGGATCTGTGCCACTTTGCACTGGGTACATGCACATTACAGAGGCAGAGGCCCCTACATAACTGCTGTGACCAGACATATGGCTGTGCAGAAACCCGCTGTGTAACAGTAATGTCACCCACATTCAGTGGCATCATTCAGGAAATCCGCTTGCCTGAGGCTCTCGGGCCTAGCAATGCCTCTGTTTGCCGGTCTCTTTCCTCCCATTTTCCCCCATTCAATCAGTGACATAAACTATTAAGGCTGACGGATCGTGTGTTTGCTATTGTGTGTTTGCTATTATTTTGTATCATTTTTTTTACTGCTTACCTCTTTCAGGATGTTATGTTTGTAGCTGACTCTGCTAACGCTATTCTGATGTCCCTTAATGACAAGTCTCCAAATGTTCGGGCAAAGGCAGCCTGGTCTTTGGGTAACCTTACAGACACATTAATTGTTAACATGTAAGTATTCTTAGCTTAAGGCTTGCTAGAATGTAAAATAAGTCATCCTCCATAATAAACTTGGACAATTGCTTGTTCTTAATTTTGTTTTCTATTTCAGGGAAATAATTGGACAAAGTTTTCAAGAGGAATTTTCTGATATGCTGCTTCTTGAAATGTTGAAATCAGCAACAGAAGCTTCAAAAGACAAAGATAAG